TGGGGGGGGGGGGGAGGGTCTAAGTTAAGTGTCATATTTACCTAGATTATATTTAAAAATGCTCCTAAAACGATATTTTATTCTTACTAACCAAACACCATAAAATAAGTGATTTATTTTATTCTAAAAACATTTTCCTTTCATATTAAACAATACTCGCGTGTTCTTCTATAGTAACTATTCTCCTCCTCCTCTAAAATTTTGATGGTATAACATAACATCATTTGATTTTATAATCGTTTCGTTATTATAATATCATATCACTTTATCCGCACCTCAACTATTAACCTTGATAGAAGTTATAATCTGCTATTTTAATATCTTCACTCGATTCATAGATCATGTCTGCTCATTTACATCATCAATATAACTATATTACCCCATAATATGTTTCTATGTTTGTGTCTAAACTCTAACTATTAAACTCTAACATTGAGTTGTAGCAGATATCCACAAGTTCAAACTAAGCCACCACTTAGCCAATCCAAATCCTTTGATCAATATATATTTGTTTCCTACAATGTGATTACCATATAAATTAACACTAAACATAGTTCTTATTTCTTCAAGTCTTTCAAATTAAGTATATTTAATAGCACATAAAAACAGGGGAAAATAGTTAAAATTAGTCTTCAACTATGACCGAATTTGCAATAACACATTCATACTTCACATGGAACTAAGGTGGAAGTACTTATTTCTTTGCCTAATAGAAGCAACGAATAATACGGATATTCATATATTTCTTTCTCCATCAGATGCAAGATTTTCAGAGTAAGAGTAATCACAAGAGGAAATTTCACTGCAGATGAAGACACAAATCAAAGGTACAAAAGCCAAACATACATGCCAGACACTTGAAATGACACGATGAACAAGAATCTATAACTCATGCCCCCTTTTTACTCATTTCCCAACTATTTCAGATTTGTCTATGTTCCATCCATCTCCCGCCTGTGCTGCTTTCTTTTTCGCCTTCTCTTGAAGTGCCTTTGCATCCCTGATGAAATATTGAACACAACATCCATGTCAGGAACATGAATTAAGCAATTTTGGCATATAACAAGTAAGGTTCAACCTTTCTCGTCGTTGTTCAGGGGTTAATCCATCATGTTTAGGTGTCTTGGACTTGTGGTTTCCCCTGGCTTGTGCCCTTTCACGATCTCGGTCTCTCTGGTTCCCGCGTTAGCTTAAGTTAAGACCAAAACAGGCAGTGATCAAATTGAAGTATGACAACATCGATCTTACCAAAAATAAAATCTTACTTTTGGAAATCAAAGCTGAAGATAAGGTCTCAGGCTGAGGCAAACGCACAATTGAATGATTGATGCTTTGTATTGGATTACAGGTACATACATGTTCAATGTCGAAAACACTGATTCAGTTAAACGGTTTAATATAGGCTGCTGCATTTGCCTCTAATTTCAAATTTTATCAGCATGAGAGATTACTTTAGAGTTTAGACAGAGCTCAAAAATTTAGTTCTGCCCTTTTTTTAGGGCCCAAAAGGAGTAGTAATAAGAAAGAATCTTCTTTTTATGCAGCCAAGAAACAGGGGCGGAGCTAGTAAGGGTCTAGGTCCTCCCGCAAAAACATATATTAGTTAAAAACTTAAAATTATATGTTATATATGTAAAAATATATGTTGAACCCTATGACTACTTCTTCATGCGACTACTTTTTCAATTTTATTACTTCATTTTTCAAAAATCAAACTGTTTAAATTTGATCGAAAATTTGGACATAAAATCTTTAATTTTTTTAAATAAATTTATATATTTGTAAACTACGTAAAAAGTTTATTATAAATCACAATAATTGATAATTCAAAATGTTTAAAAGATCTATGAAAAACTTAAGGTAAAAAATTCAAGTTGGTTGAATTTTGAAATTCAAACAATACCACATAAAATGAACAGAGGGAGTACTTTTTTTAATATTTAACAAGTTTTCCAATTCTACATGGTATGTTCAAGATATCAAAGGACTATCTACATATTTAATTTGCGACAACAAGATTCATAAACTCCTTTAAACTCTACATCCTATCAAACTAAAACACTTGGATTGGGACGGAAAGAGAATGAGATTACACTAGAAAAAGCTCTAATTTTTAAATAATCAGAGAAAAGAAAGAAACATATCAGAAGGATATGAGACATTCTTGATTCTCCAACAGCAAAGCACAGATCTAAAGACAAATAGCTCTAAACAAAAATGTTGGAACCAAAAGAGGAAATTTAGATTAAATTACTACCCCAAATAAAATCCAAAATTGAAAGAGAAGAAAAGGGGTACTTACCTGATTGAACTATGGACTATAATTTGTTAGCTTAAGATTGAAATTAGAGCACAGAGGTTTAATAATTTGATTATTAATTAATTAAATTGGAGAAGTGAGGAGTTCGTGGGAGAAGAGAAGTTTATAGTAAAGTGTTAGTGAAAACTTACAAGATAACAAAAATACAAGATTACAATTGAAAAATAAATATGAAGAAAATAAATCTCTTCAGGCTGAGGCGCGGATATCTCGCTCTCTTTAAGGAGATTCAAGCCCACTGCAACAAATATTTTCACCGGTCCAACAGTAGTCCTCTTGACTTGTCCCCTCCAGGATACAACAGCCTTCACAAAGTATAACTCAACAACTCTGGACAAGAGTTGAGTCCAAAGCTCCACAAAAAAGAACACCTCCCTTCAACTAATAAGAACTCTCTTTTTTTGACTAACTCTTTCACTCTATATTTTTCTTGTGTGTAGTCCCCCCCAAACCAAATGAAGACTATCACTATTTATAGTTGAGGAAGTCTTCCTACCAATTGATAGGAAGCCCCCACTCATTTTAATATTTACCAAGAGAGTCTATCAGCTGAAGGAAGACTATTATGCATCATGAAGGTGTGCTTTGCATTGAACCTCCACTTAGTGAAACAATAATTTTTATTCCAGAGTCGTAGTGGTCTCAGACTTGAACTATAACTGCTTGAGGGAAATAAAATATCACTGCTCACACATAATAATCAAGGTGTTGACATGAGCTTTAAAGCCAGCACGTTATGGCCATGTGCTA